TATATATATATATATAATTTTCTTTGAATAAGATTTAGTTTTTGCATGAGTCTTTTGCTTCGTCAGCGTCTTTTCCTTTGCTACGGTTGTAACTAATGACAGGTGGTGCGGCGGCAGTATAGTGCTCCAAGGTGGTGATTATCTTTGCATATTCCCTTCCATTTTTCCTTGCCTGCTTGTTGCGCCCTTCCTACACATACCCCTTGTTGTTTCAGCTCCTCCTTGCACTGTTCTATTGTTATCGCCATCACTCCTGCAATTTCCTTATTGTTGTCACCCTTCCTGCACCTCTCTTGCTCACAATCACGACCTCCCTGAGTCGTTCCATTGCTCCTTCCACCCTCTCTACACCATTACAGTTTGCCATCACTTTTCTCAAGCCACCCCGCCCACTGTTCCATATGTTGTTCTGCCTCACCCTGACGGGATATTTGTGTCATGTTGTATTTTCTTTTTGTTTAAATGCATTTATTGTTATCTTGTTGTTTAGCATAATAAAATTTCCTTCCCTTGTTGAGTTTTTGGGTTAACTTCGATATCACTAGGTTGTCGCAAGTGAGAGAAATCCAACATATCATCATTTCATACAAAAATGAGAAGTTTTTTAGAAATTATTGGAAGGCCCTATGAAGTAAGTTGAGTGTTAAATTCCAATTCAATTCAACAGGGCACTCACGATAGATGGTCAGACATAAAGAGTGAACCACAGTGCTGGAAATCATCTTAGGTGTGGGAAGTTCTATACAACAATGAGATTCGGGTGTTTTTGAAAACATGGGTGAAGCCTCTTCTACCCGGGTAAAGTGATGAGGGACGTCGAAATTTCCCTCGATACCGCAAGCTGCAATATGCAGCTTCTGCAATCACGGAAATAAGAAGGCTGGGTGTCTTTTTAGATATTTATTTTTTTCAGCAATTTTTCAGTTTTTGTTTCGTTTATTTCTTGTTCTTTCCAATTTTCCTATTTTACAATTGGGTATTTTCTAATAGGGGGCTTTTATACATGTGTTTTGGACTGTTTGAGTTATCAGTTGTGTTTATTTCTTGGAGTTGAGATACTTTTTCTCTGATTTATACTCTTGAGAGTGTTTTATCCACCTATTACAAGTTGTATGTTTATAGCTTGCCCAGGAACAAGTGGTGGATCCTCCTCGACATATGCACTTCATCATTCCGTCGTTCGGCCGTTGTTGTCAATTCAAACAGCCGCCGAACTCATCCCCAATTGCTGTTCAACAGCAGGTTTTATCTCATCTCCCCCTCCAAACACCGTCGAAGTCCTACATTTCTTTCCCTCGTTATTCCACAATCACCTCCCCGCAAAATTCGCTTCTCAAATACCTTCTAAGAACCCTAGAACAATATCAGTCTCAAAAGTTGGTCATACTTATTTTTACTACTAAAAAAAGCAAAATGCCAAAATAAAAAATGAGGTAATATAATTTAAAATTGGTATAATATATTTAGCAGAAAATGGATAAGCAAGCAGAGAAGAAATGTTGTTATTTTTTTTCAATTTGTTGGACACGAACTAAAAGAATAACCCATGATAAGTAATAAATTTGTGTTCAACATACCTTTCTTGTAACCATCCGGCGTGCCATGTTGGAATTGGCATCCAATGCTCCATCTCGAAGAACTTCATGAGAGCAGATCCCATCTTTCCCACAACACTGTTCGCTTTTTTCTGGCAAAAGATCATGCACCAGTGATTTATTCCTCAGGTTTTCTGACTTATCATCTCTAGAACCATTATGGCACGTTTTAGTTGCTTCAGCTGTAATTAAATTGAGCCATGAGCTTTTATTAGATGATACCAGACAACATAATTTAAAACCATAAGCTATCTGAAAATTGAATATTTTTATATGAAAATCAACATGGAAGCACTCGTTTTTTCCCCTCTTCTTTATGAAAATGCTTTCTTCTTATACCACTCCATTGTTGAACAGGCCTTGCTTTGGGCCCAAGTCTAACAGTAGAACCAAGCTTGATTACATAAAAACCTTATTACAAAGGAATATAAGTAAATTTCCTGATTAGATTAATCAATGATCTTGCTTATGTTGTTTTAAGTACTTTAAAAGTTGGCACCAAGGCGCCGCTTCACTCGCACTCGTACTATAGTAATATGGGATAAAACCTCTAATCCATACCTTACCCTAAACTCCTACTATTCCACAAGCTCCAATCAAAATATAATTGCTTCAGAACAAGAGAATATTCACAAAAGGAGGCTATGTCAAGGTGAATAAAAATAATTAAATTACTACTCAAAATTTGTTGGGAAGTAGATGCAAAAAACTGATTCGAGAGATCTGAAACAAAAATTAGAATTAAAATGCACAAAAAATGCTAAGATTTAACGTGAAAATCCCGAAAATGAAAAAAAAAACACTGAGTCACATCACACTAAGAAATCCACTATGAAAAATGTGGAGAATTGTACAAATTGCGCCACACTCAAGCCTCTATACACATTGGAACTCAAGAACACTCATTTGTTCTTCCTCACACGGAAGAACTTCAAGATCCAACACCTCTTTGCACGCAGATCAAGTAGCAAAGTTGAAATTTAAAGCATCGAACTACTTGAAACCGGTTACTGGCGCCGAGGCACCACGATATGGTGTTGCGGCGCTCTAATAGACACTGAATTTCAGGTATGCAATATCGTGCTCTTGGGTTTTTGAACCTGGACTGGCCATTATGACACTCCATTGGGGCATTAGAGCGCGAGCGCTCCTGTTCCAAGCATTGAGGCACTGCATCTTGGAGTTGCAGCGCATGGTATATGAAATAAAATTTTTAGTGGGCAGCTCCCCAAAACACAAAATAGGGGGAACACTCCCTAACTTATTGTCAAGCTTGAACGGTGAAACTTAGGGCTCTAAGTGAATAATTAATCAACACAATCAAGATCCACAAACATATACTACAAGAATAACTCAATTTAAACTTTTCAATCGGATATCTAGCAGGATAAATTGAGGTTGAATAATTTACTGACTGAATTTACAACGATAAATTCAGTCGCACTGGGTTACAGGCAAAAATAATAGTTTACTTTTTGGACGTATAATGATTTAGTTAAAATTCATTGAATGACAATTGAAATATTAAACCAATAATATTTTAGTTTAGTTTTTTTTTTTTTAGCTTTGCAAAAAAATATTTGAAATTAGGCAGTGAAAATTTGAAAAATAATTCAAATTTAGACTCTTAGGCTTGAAAATTATTTTGAATTTAGGCTCCCAGATTTAAAAATATTTTGAATTTAGGCTCTTAAGCTAGATAAATAAATCAAATATGGAATTTTTAAATATGCAAAAATGACTTAATATATTTGTGGGTTAAGCTTGACTTACATTTGAAATATCATAAATTGGGTTAAGCTTAAGACATAAAGCCATTTTTTAAATGCTAAAATGAAGAGTTCATATGTCAATTTTTCCACCGAATTCACAATATAATCGCTAACAAACAGAAGGCGATTCTTCTTAAAGCCCCAAATAAAATTGTATAATACAAGATCATAATAATTTTTGCAAATATTTTAAATTATAAATGAATACGATGTATACAAATTTCAAGATGATTTCACAAATCAAATGCAGCACTTTGAGATCCATGAGAGTATTTTAAGACTTGTACGAGTGAAAGTTTGGATATTCTCAACATGAGTATGTTTAAGAACATTTATATAAATGGGTCAGTTATGCATGATTTTAGATTTTTGAATATTCTTTTTGAAACAAACTTCATATCATGCCAGTAAGAACATCATACTCAAAGAAATCTCATGCTCAAAGAAATCTCATGCCAGATATTCATACTAAAAGAAATCTCACTCCAGTAAGAACATCACCCTTATAGATATTGGATGGATATTTATCTAAGGGGACAAATTTAAGTTAACCTTACCTGATAGAAAGTTTTGTGTCAATCAAATGATCTTTATGAATTATAACTTAAAGGGTAGAAAGTCGTCGGTGAATATATTGACTGCGGTCGTGACTGTAATATATAGTGTCATTCGGTGGCAACCACCTAATAAGAAGGCTCATTTTACCATATTGGGTCGAGTACCTCCTTTGCTAGTAGATCAAAGACCCTGATGATAATCGTGATGATGGTACCATGAGATCTTAATCGGATTTGTCATTATTTCTCCATCATTTGTTTTAAGCTCAAGATGATAAAATTTATAACATAAAATTCAAGTCTGTTGCTACTATATGTTAATATTAAATGCTTAACGGCTAACCTTCAAAAGTGTTCTCTTGTTATCAAAAGAAATAATTAATCATAGGCCCTTGTGCCTATGGGAAACCTCAAACTCTAGATCAAAAAATTCTCGCAAAATGAGAGTGGAATCTCTAGATCGTGTCTTATCTACAATTCAATTTGTCTTATAAAAATTTGACCCGGAATACCAAACCCAAAGCCCTCATGGGCTCGAATTTTTGGAGCCCACAATAGGATTGCCTCAAAAACAATGAAATAGGAACTCTAATATGACTGTGATAGATCGATACTCTAAGATGACATACTTGCCATGAGTAGATGGATGCCTCTCATATTGCAACTTTATATTTCAAAGGGATTGCATGCTTTCATGGTGGACGTCAAAACCATTACTTCAGATCAGAATGTGAAATTCATGAGCCACTTTTGGATGACTTTATGGGGTAAGCTAGGTGTCGAGTTAGAGTTCCATTTTGCACCCCTCGACAGTTGGATGGACGAAAATAATAAATCAAATGTTGGTAACTCTCCTCAGACGCTTTGTAAGAAAGAATATCTTGCAGCGAGACTTGATTCTTCCTCGGGCTGAATTTCATTACAACCAGTCCACTAGACAATCGACAAGTCACCACCTATTTTAGGTTGATTTATCATCGTACTTCAAGGATATAAATGCTTTTGGGGGCAAAGGCCAAGCCCCTCCTATCTCAAGAGAATGACGCAGGAGCAGGGGATCCAAAATCCTGCAATTACGGGAGTCAAACTTGGACAGACTTCTATCCTAAGAGGGATCCTGTAGCAGGAATTTCTTTCAAACTTGACTGTTACAGGACTTGTAGGCTCTTATTTACTATATGTGACTTCTAATTAGACTTTAATTTTGGAATTAGTAAAAAGATATTATGTGAAACCTGGTAAAGGGCTCTTTTTGGCTTGGTTATGTTATTAGAGATTTCTTTCTCCCGAGTATTTCTATAATTTGATTACTCTCAGGTTGTGTGCTGTAACCTGATTGGATCAGGTTGGTGATCTCACCAGGATATCTGAAGGCCTCCTTCCTCACCAACTTCTTATTGGCCCCTTTCTCCCCACCTTCTTATTGGCCTTTTTTTTTTTTTTTTTTTTTTGGTTCCAACTTGCTGCCCAGCCACCATGACTCTGATTTCTCACTGATATCATCTTCTCGCCCTCTTTTCTCATACTACAACAAACATAATCATTCTTTGTGTTATCCAGCATCGTCTAAGAACACTGGGTCGGTGTCACCATGCAAGAAGACAGAAAAGCGGATCAGAAGAAGCATGTACCAAATAAGGTAAGTTGAATATAATAGCAGCTACACCGGCAAAGACTAGATAAACAATCTAAACATGGCCCAATACAAAAGTGTGATGTACATAGAAGATCTGAAAACAGCCAAATTCATATCATGTTTCACAGATTGTTTTTGCAAACCTTGATGTTTAAGAGAAAAATTCCGCTCCCTCTCTAGTTCATATTTACGCTTCCAAACAGCCGCCTCTGCTTGTGCTGAAGCTTTTCCTTCTGCAACCCGCCTCAATGCCTTTGCAACAGCTAAAAATTACAATTTGGTTTCAATTGGTAGGCGTCAAGTAAAATAGATCAAAATATCAAAATAACTTTCATAATTAAATTCCTAGATGCATTTTCTATTCAAGAACTTCAGTCAATGAAAGTTTCTAAACCTGGCTACTTGCTATAACAATAGTACCAAACCTGGTCATCATTCAAGAAAACATTAAAAATTTCAAGGAAGTAAAATTTATCAACTAATGCTTCATTTGGCTTAGCAGAGCTGGCACGATGCTGCTCCCATAAGGGCAGGTAGTTTCAGCACAGCATTGCCTGCACATTAAGCCATCCTGCCAAGCAAATGCAGAATTTTCGCAATCAGAAAACTTGCTGAGACCAAACTCTCAGCGGAGTAAGGTGTGCATCTCAGAAGCTTGTTTGGCCAACAATAGAAAACATAAATTTTGGATTAAAACCTGGAAATTTTCCTCTCAAAAATGAAATACAGTGATAAGGATAAATAATTGATGCTGCATAAAGATGAAACTCAAATTCCTAGTAACATTCCTCAGCAAATCCTTCTTTTATTCAACATCCAAAAAGAGTGGGAAGAACTTGATGTTATTAATGTCAACAAAATAAATGAAAGGTAGGTAAGGCTAGGGACTATAAAGCGAAATGAAAGACAAATGCAAGCTCCATAATCAGGAGTAATCAAAGCATATTTGAGGTCAAAGCTTGGGTGGTGATTCTAGAATTCACTGAAGTGGAGCACCCAAATAACCTTGAAGAGCTCCCAATACTGGAGACTCTGCTGGCAATAAATCCTCTTATACACTTGCTTTCCTTTAAAATGTAAACTAATAAAGTTCAACTACAATGGTGTGCTTGCTCTTTATGTAACTTGAATACACAGTTTCACAATCCACTACATATTAAACTCGAGAATCTCTTGTTTGCACAAATTAGAGAATTGTATCAGTTTAAACTGAAAGAGTTGCATTTATAGAAAAAAAAAATATCTTGGAGAATAATTACATGCAATATTGAAAATAAAATACGCCAATGTAGAATACAAACAAGCAAACATCTTACTTCTCAGAGCCTCAGAGAATTCAACGAGATGCTCATCAAGTGCTCTAGTGGGTATATCTTCAAGAAATTCATGAACTGCTCTCTCAGAATTTAAGGATGAAATCAAGTTGGAAAAGCCATTTTCTTCCAAAGGTAAGGAAGGAAGATCACGAGTCATTCTATCATCAGGTACCTACCAAAATTATTCAAAGAAAATTTCAGAAGATAAATGAGCATAATAGGCAAGACCTCCTTCAAGTTCATAACTATGTGAGAAACACAAAAGAGGTGGTTAAGATGCCAAACAAGCCTACTGTGAGTTTTTGTAGTAAGAAAATGGAACACAAAATTAACGTATAAAAAAACCTCTTCAGAAGGTTCACCCCCTACTTCCATATTATTTGAATTCAAGGAGAAAGCTAAAGCACATCTAACATGTATCAACATAGAACACATGCCCAACAAATATCTTTCAGACAATGGGTAATGAATGACCACAAGGACACATCAAACAACATCCAATATTTCAACATAGAAATTGGGCTGGTGATCACTAGGGGTTTAAATCAGCCGAGTTTGAGTGCGTTCGGTGTTTATTCTTCTTTGGTTTTTTGGGTCGAAATTAGTTCGAATGATTTAAAAAATAATTAAATTTGTTTTTTTAGAATCCATAAAAAAAAATTAACATAACATATTATAATATTATTATTTAATTAATTCTAGTCAAAATGAGCCGAACACAATCGAATGACCATTTATTTGTGTTTGGCCGGTTTATAAATCGAGCTCAGAAAAAAATTCATGTATGGCTCTCCTACTTAACAAAAGAATCTAACATGGCTACTTAGCAAATTGAACACAAGTTGTTCACAAATGAGGAGCTTTTTTGACAGCCTTAGAGATGACAACCAGCTCATTCGAGCTTGGTATTTTAAAAAAAGAAAAAGACTCATTTTACTTTTTTATGTGAAGTTGCACTAGACGAAAGAGAAAGATGCAATGACTACAAACTTAAGTATGGATTAAAGTGCCATGTTTAGTCATAATTTTCATACAATGGTTGAAAAAGGCTAATTAGAGTGGCAAGCAAGTTTTGTTTTAATATGAGAAAAATACACTACCTAGCAAAGAGAGGAATGACAAAACATACGAGAGTCTACAACAGCTCCTAGCGAAAGATATGCATCTATTTGCCAGTATCACTACATGGATTTGTTGGTTATTAAAAGTAAATTATTTTGTCGTGCAGCATGGCTCAAGATGGTTGTTCATATTTCTATGGTTACAGGTAATACATCAAGTTTCAATTAATTTAGCCTAAGAGTTCCCAATGTGTCGAAAAACATAGTCAAGTCTAGAATCAAATTTCATTGACTGTTCAGGATAAGATTTTATTTTGCCATTTCAATAGTGGTGGCAACCAAGTTAAGATTCATTCAAATATGGTAGCTATATAACTCAATTTGCATTTGATTTTACAAGACCATGGCTAATCTAACTCAAGATTGATTCATGACATTTCTAATATGTTGGCTTTCAAACTCGAGCTTTATTAAATTTGAACTTACTACGTATCACGCTTAGCACTATATAAAGACAGTTGCATTGTGTTGATGCATCCCATAACAAGAAACAATAAAGAGAGACGAGAAAGAGAAAGGAATATGAAAGTGATACAACAACAAAAACAAGTTTTTATCCCATTAAGTGGGTCGGCTACATGAATACTTTTTCTCCATTTTGTTCTATTGAGTGTCATGTTTTTATTTAATTCTATTAAATTAAGAACATTTGTATACAACTTGTTCAAGTCTTTTAGGTGTACCTCTCCCTTTCTTAACATAAGTCAAATTTAAAACATCTACGCTCATGATTGGCTCATCAAATGGTTGAAGTTCAATGTGATTGAACCATCTAAGGTGATTCTCTCTAATCTTGTTTGTCACCGAAGCTGCTTCAACCCTTTCACAGATATGTTGATTTCACATTTTGTCTCTAAGTGTAAACCCAATCATCTACCTGAGAATTTTCATGTAACACTTAAATGAATGTTAGGCTTCTCTTTTACAACCCAACATTCTACGCCATAAAGCATTGCAGATCTCACCACCATCTTATAAAATTTTCATTTAAGTTTAAGCGGTACTTTTCTATTACACAATATGCCCGAGGCATTCCTTGACTTCAACCATCGAACTTGAATTCTACTAATAATATCCTCATCTATATCATCACTTTGAACAATAAACTTGAGATATCTGAAACGTTCACTTCTTTTAATGACTTGACCACCAATTATTACAACCCCTTGCCATTAGATCTACTACCATTAAAATTACATTCCAAGTCTTCAATTTTAGTTCTACTCATGTGAAAGTCTTTAGACTCTAAAGTTGACCTCCAAAATTCAAGTTTTTTCTTAAATCTCTCTAGTCTTATCCACAAGAAAGATATAATCAACGAAATGTATTCACCAAGTACATCCTGTTGTAAATATCCAGTGAGAACAACCATAACTAAAGCAAAAAAAGATATGGGCTTAAAGCCCATCACTGATGAAATCCAACTGAAATAGGAAAATACTTGGTCAATCCTCCTTGTATTTAAAAACAAGTAATGTTTATATTATACATATATTTAATGAATTGCATAAGCAATATCAACATCTTTCTCTTCTAAAACTCTCCAAATTACTTTTTTTTAAACATTATCACAAGTAATTTTTTTAAATGAATAAAAATCATACATAGATAATCCTATTCTCTTTTTACTTCTCTATAAAACCTCTCGGTAAATATATAGCTCCCATAATAAACTTGTCATCCATAAATTTAAACTAATTTTGAGAAACTTTTGTATCATGTCATAACCTATGCTTAATTGCTCTTACCCATAACTTTAATGTATAACACACTAATTATTTCCTCTATAATTTGCACACTCTTGTGCATCCCCTTCATTCAAAAAATATAAACTAATAGACTTTTTTTCCAAGCATCTTTTTTATTTTCAGATTTATATTAAAAAGTTTGGTAAGTCAAAAAATTTATAAATCTTCTAAACATTTTCACACTTCTAATGAATCATTAAGTCCTACTATTTTTTCACATTTTATTTTCTTCAAAATCTCATCAACTTTCTTTTTACTAATGCAACGATAGAAATAAAATTTTTTGTTGTTATTTATGACATTAGAATATTAAATTCAATCGTATATACACATTCTTATTTGAAAATTTTATTAAAATATCTCACTTACCAATGTTGATATTCTCATCTAAGAAAATAACTTTCTAATTTTTAATCTTTAATACACTTTACTAGAACTAAATATTTACTTTACTTATCTCTTTGTTTGGCTAATTTATACATATATTATTCACCCTCTTTTGTATCAAATTTATTATAAAGTCGCTAAAAGCAGAATTTTTAGCATCGCAAATTATTCTCTTAGACTTCCTACGGGTGACCTTACATTTTTTTTAATTCTCCAAACTTTTACGTCAAAACTACTTTTTATAAAACTTCTTGTTTTTTATCTTTTATTGCACATTATTATTCCAACACCAATTATTTTTTTATTATCTTTTATTGCACATTATTATTTCAACACCAACTATTTTTTATTCATAAGTGTTTTTTTCATTTGATTCTCCAAGCATATCTTTTGCAACTTGCTTAATAGTGCACATTATTTCTTCATAAAAAAAGATGTGTTATTTTTTGTTCTAGCAAGATAAGAAGCACTAGGCCATAGAGAAAAATAGTTCTCATTTGGACTCCTACAACTGATAGATGAAAAGAGTAACTAGAAATCTTTCCTCATGTCTAGCCCTCATTTTCATAGCAGGTGGCTGCATTTTCTGTCTACTTGATAAATTGATATATTTGTTTGCATATCCTACTTTGTATAAATTGTAAGCTTTTAATATATTCTTATTAAAGTTTGATGAGTTATTAGATCTCTATGAGGCCATAGACCTAATCTTACTTAAACCAAACCACATAAGTATTAGTATTCTCTTTTACAATTTTTTATCACTTTTACATTTAATTTAGATTCATCATACTTACCCTTGTGTTGAGGGCACTCACTTTCCCAAAAAATAAAAAAATGTAGAAGCTCAAGTTATCCAAGGGGGATGGCATCATGATTCTATGACCCTACAAAAAAAGTGATGCTAAAATAGCCATAAAAATAGAGCAATTTTCCAATTTACTTGAATAGGTAAAATGTAGACAGATGACTTTGGGTGCGTTTGGCGCTGCTTTTTCTGGGTGGTACGGCGGGAGGCCGCAGAAACAACTCGTTTGGCGCGGCGTTTGATTCGCGGCAGCCGCGAATCTGAGGGAAAAGCGGGCCGCGAGATCAACCATGCTTCCCGGCTTCGCTTCCGCGGCCCCATTTAGCTTCTTCCGTATTTTACCTAGGTGCCCTCGATTTCACCTTTCGTTCAGCTTGCGATCCTGCGATTCCTTTCTTCTTGCGATCCTACGATTCCCTGATTCCTGCGATTTATGCCATCCTGCGATTCCTTGTTCTTCCTGTGAATCCTGCGATTCCCAAATTCCTACGATTCCGCCTTTTGTTCTTCTTGCGATCCTGCGATTCCTGTTACTTTGCTTCATCATTTCAGAGCCGGAAGGATTAGAAAAAGGGCTTGAAAAAAATCTCTTGCTTCGCTATGCCCAGGCGCTCTCCGTCGTTTGCAAGTCCCGAAGATCATCTTCTTCATCTCATCACTGCAAGTGACGCATACAGGGGTCTCTGTTGGCATTTTGAGCTTTGAGAAATACTCGGGTTAGATTCCAAGACCTATTAATAATATTTGTGTGGTTTTCTTTATTAATAATTTCGAGCATTTCTAGATGTTTGAACTCGGTAGAAAGATGTCGGCATTCTTTCAATCACCTTCTAGTTTGGAGAGGATAGAATTTCTCTTTCAAGTATTGTTATTATGTCTTATAAAATTCTAGTTTGGGGTTTAAAAATTAATGTTGCACTTTTATAATGTGGTTTGCAAGTCAATCGTCAATGCTTGTTTTGTTTCCCTAGCCCCATATGAAGTGGCTTCTACTGACATTCTTTATGCTTATTTGATGTGGATAAAAGTTATGAATGAAAATGTATTTCAATTTGGGAAAAAAAAGTTGAACACACATCACTTTAATTGGCTTTATTTTAAGTATTCATCGATATTTTAAAAAATTAGTTAAATTAATTAGTTCGTTAATAATATTTTAAATCCTAAATGAAAATTATATTTAATACTTTCGTCCCACCGAATATAAGAACATTCTTATTAGAAGCCTTTTATTTCATATGTTCACCTATCTAGCAAGTTAACATTTTACAATATTTTAATCAAGTTAAATTACATTTATTACATAATTAACAAATAATTAACAATTTCAAGTTTAACTAATTTATTACATAAAAAATTTTGCGTATGGAGTTACAAAAATTTCACTGTTATAGTATTTTTTTAAGCAGCTTTACCAAACAAGGGCATAATGGTTATTTTTCCAGAAACAGCTGCTCTGCAGTTGGTTTCACGCAGCTGCACCAAACAGACAGCCAGCTTCCTCGCAGTTGCTTCCCCACAGCAGCTTCCAGAGCGGCTTCTGGGGCCAGCGCAGCTGCAGCTAAAAAGCTGGGAAGCTGCAGCTGCGCCAAACAGAGCCTTTAACATAAAATTGAAGAAAATTGTCAAAAAAAATTATGCTCTACAAGCTAAGAAAAATAAATTGTAAGCCCTAAAAAGACACTAATGCTAGATTAGCCAAAAAACATATAAAAAATTTCCAATTTAGTTTGACAATAGAATCTCAACTAATAGTTTGAACTCAAAATAAAAGTAAACTATATGCAAAAAATTAAGAAAATTGATATTGAACTATTGGTTGATGAAATATATTTGCAGGATTTTAAGAACCATATTCCATAATAAGATAGAATGCCAAGGGGTTCTACTTTAAATTGTGACCAAACAAGAACACCATATTATCAACATTTAGATATACACTTCCGTTTATTGTATCAAAAAGGATTTGCGCTTCGAAATTCTTAGTAATATATTCCCTGCATCTAGAATGAAACGTGGAATATGTCATGGCTGATTGCTACAAAGTTCTAAGCCTATAGCTTTTTAGTGTAACTAAAGCAACAAGATGATCAACAAGGAAACGCATAAGGAATCATGGGTATAAGTAAATGCTATTAGTTAAACTAACTTAGAGAAACTATCAAAACTAATAACTCAATTATTTGAGCATCGAACTGCGACATATTTCTTCAAAAACTAAAGATTATGTTATGTTGGATAAATATTATGGTTATGTAGGTTAATCAAGAACTCTATGGTTGCAAAAACTGTTCCCATAGTCTTCAAATGCAAGTTCTCAAAATTACACAGTCCATTGCTTGCGATGAAGCACCACCAAGGGGATGACTTCAAACATATTGTTCCAATTCTCAACTGAGAAAAAAAAAACTCTGGACGCTCAAGAAGAAGTGATGTGGGTTTGGACGCTGTCAAATTTTTTTCTCAATGGTGAAAGTAGATTAAGTATAAACAAGAACACAAAATTTACAAAGCATGAAAGATTTAGCCTCTATTACATCAAAAGAACATGATGAAACTCCATTTCAATTAAAGGCTTGCTTGACTTCAATTTTATCAGGTAGAAAACCGAAATAATCACTGTGCAATAAGGAGATACTCTCTGAATCCGTGTTACGGAAGAGACAAAAAAATAGTCGTTATCGCTCCGATTCAGTGTTGATCGCTACATGATTACCCGTCCTCATGCTCTCCAATAACGCAAAAATCATCAAAAATTAACAGTAAGCGATCTTATTTAGGGCTTAAATACATGGATCAAAACACAGAAAAACAATTCGCAAAGCAATACTTAATTTGTAGAAAATCAAGAGTTCCCGCAGAAGAAATTTTTCCCCTCGTTAAAAAATTCACATTACAATAACAAATAAAGATTAATTGATAACCACAAAAATAACACTAGCTTTCTCAACTCCTGAAGAAAGATTGAACAGCACCAGTTCCATCTCTTCAAGGAATTCAAAAGGAAAAATCATGCAGGCATTAAACAGAATGAATCGTGCAAGTTTCTCAACCAAATCAATCCCGATCAAACCTCAAAGAAAACACCGACGACTCATCTCAACTTCGGACACCTCACAAAACGAAAAGACAGATTGCTTGCCTTGGTAGAGATAGACTCTTCGGGATACATTGAAGAGGGGACGGATGTGCAGCGGCGGTCGCAGCGCCGGCGGCGGGGGACGGTGGCGCGCCCTTGAAGAAAGATAAAACAATGGCAGCTCAAAGGCAGCTACGATCGGCTCCACTCTTAAATCAAGTATTTATTGACTACTGTATATCCCCATTTCGCTACCTTCAACAACTTTCGGTTTTTCAATAATTTTTTTTTCTATAAATTTTAATTATAAATAAATATGGTATGATTGACCAAATAATATTTATATGATGCGTAAGTTAATTAAAATTTAATGTTTGGAAATTATTTATTGATACTTCATCGAAAAATTATTTTAATCGATATAATTTTTAATTAAAAAGTTTTTATAGTTATGTCCATAATTATTGAAATTCAATTCTAATCAATTTTTTATGTGATATAAATTAATATTACAAATATAAATATAAAAATTTTGGTCTTGTAAATACATACGAATTGTGTGGTTTGTATGTAAATGACCTTATTATTTAAGAAAAATGATAAATATTACTTAATATTTTTTTCTAATATTTTATTAAAAATCAAATTAAATTTTATTTATTCATGTTGATTTCTGTTTAATATTATCGTCGTCAATTCTTATTTAATATATATATATATATATATATATATATATATATATATATATATATATATATAAAAAAAAAAAA